AAATATAATAAATAAAACAGAAATTTTTGAAATTGTGAAAAATAATAAAATATTGTTTTCGAACCTGATACATATTCTAATGGCTTAAAAAAACTCATAAATCATAACAAAATTGTATGTTAGATTCGTAGACCAATTCTCTTTTTAAAAAGGTATAATACAAATTCTTCTAACACTAAATATCAAAATTTATAATATGTGAAGTCAGCCTTTCTACCTTATTTATAATAATATGTGACACACTGACGTTGTTTCACGTGGCAAAATTTTGTTTTATTTAACATAGTAAACAATTTGATAATTGACTATATGTTCTAGAATGAACTTGCTCATTCACTTTGTCCTTAAAATACAATAATAAATTTGTCTCTTTTGTTATTAATTTAATATCCATTTTTGGACATAGCTTTAAAAAAAAAGGATAAGTTTTGCTGTTTTGGAACATTATATATACATCATAAAATTATTATTTATAAGAAACCAATTGCTCATTTATATTTGACAGGGATGTGCCATCTAAATTTGGAAACTCGTGCTACTATACAAGTAAGAAATGAATTCTCTTGTAAAAAAATAACACATGAAAATGGAACAATTGAGATAGTGAGTTTTCAATTTTATCATAATGTAAAAAACTCGTAATAAAAAAGGCACTGATTTGCGTAACCGAATTCAAATGAATTAATCAATTTTTTCACCTCTAAATGATAAACGATTTGCTAACAAGTGCTGTCAGAATACTTTTTAAGGATATCAAATAAAAAAATATTTTTTATAAAATCAATTATTTCAATTTTCTATATATGGATTATACACATTTTTGAAAAATAGTATTAATTTAAATATTTAAAAGTGTCTCTAAAATACTTGTTAGCATTTCCTATAGATAAAAGCAAATCTGAAGATATCCATATGGATGAAAGAATCTTTAGCAAATTAGGATAGAGTTCAATCAGAAATAAGAATATGCACTAAAAATGATCATATATATGTTGATTTGATAGCAATATCAATCCTTCCCAACAAAAAATACATTTAAATTAGACATAATTAAATCTGGAATCCTTTAAATTATTTTAATGTAATAAAATTAATTCTTAAATTTTTTTATATAATTTAGTCATTTAAGTTAACAAATTTATACATATTTATTCTTTTTACTTTTTTCTTTTTATTTTAAATTAAACCAATCATCAAAAATACTTATAATTGTAACAAAATACATATATTGACACCCTAAATATATAAAGTAATATCTAAAAAATATAAAATCAAATTTTAATTCAATCAAAAAACTTTAAAAGATCAAATTGTTAAAAGAAATTTAATAAATCAAAATGTTACAATAAAATAAATTAAAAGAACTATGAAGTAATTATATATTTTAAATTAATATAATTAATTATTGAGAAAATTATATTATTTCTTCTGAGACCTATTAAAATGAGTATGACAATGACATCTCGTCTAATTTTTAAATATACACCGACCTTTTTTGATGTCTATTAAAATTATATTAATATCACACTTTAATTTTTAGTGATAACAAAAAAATTATATATAATTATATTTATCTACGACTTTTTTTTTTTAACAAATTTCAAGAAAAATGTGTAATTTTCTTTTAATTATTTAGATAAGAGAAGTATTTGTTAAATAGAGAAAGGAATAAAGTGATTGTGTTTAAAGGAAAATGATCAACTCCATTGTTGATTTAACTAGAGAGAGAGAGAGAGCAATGGACATATATCCACCCTTAAATCTCCACAACTACATTTTTTTATTTTTTATGTTTTCAATATTTTATTGGTTGAACCAGATTTCACTATAGGGTCATTCGACGAGAGAGAATCCACTCCAGATTCAAAGGTAACTAATCTCAATGAAATTTATTTAATGTGAAAATAAAATGGAAGCACTTAGGTTATTCCTCCAAATTTTTACATTACCACCCTTTTCTCCACATTCACAAAATTATCCCACCTCCAAACAAGAAAAATTTGAGTGAGTCTATCTATTTCAAAAATCATACTGTTATCAAATCGGTAAGATATTAAATCATTTATTTATTAGTCGAATTCCGAAATTATTGATTGAACTACAAAATAAAATTGAATAATTCAATTGAATAAATCAATTTTTATAATAAAATTAATTATTAAATAGATAAAATTGAATGTTTCTATCAATTTATATGGAAAAAAAAAAGTATTTAATCTGTCAGCTTTTCGAAAATGCTGATTTATTAATTTATATTGATTTTAACTAATTTTTATTGATTTAATAGTTTATATGTTTCAATCATTTGATCTGACCGGTAACCCTTCTCATTCTCGATTCAATCAGTTGGTTCGATTTATTTTTAAAACACTAATCGTTATTAAAGTCTCTTGGTTATTTATGCATACATGTAATTGTTTTGGCGCATTATTTTTTTTTGTTATATAATATATATATATATATATATATATATATATATATATATATATATATATATATATATATATATATATATATATATATATATATATATATATATATATATATATATCAACTTATTTAATTTTAATTATAATTATATAAATCTTATTTTATTTATAGTTACATATAAATAAAATTAAATAATTACATTTATTCATTTGTATTTATATATATTTTAGTAAAAAAATTGTCATTAAAGAATTTTTTATTCTTTAAGTACAAGACAACTACTATTATTCATAATTGTACTGAGTTTTTATTAGACCATGTGCAATGGGTATGTTGAGTTTGAACTCAACATGCAAAATCTCTTCCAATGGGTGTTGAGAGAGGTGTTGAGTGTGTGTTGGAAGAGAGAGGTGTTGAGAAAACTCAACACAATTGAAGCTGCCACGTGGCTGTGCTTGATTGACTGACCAGATTTTTATCCATTTAATACTTTGAACTCAATTATTTCGTTGCAAATTAATTTTTTTTTTTTTTTTACCAAAATTCATGATTTTTTTTCCTCTATAAATAGAGACTTGGTTCATTTGATTTGGACACAAAAAAAACTAAGTTTTTCACTATCTTAATTTTATTATTAGTGTTTATTTTGAAGTTAAGTGTTTTTTTTTAGTGAAATGGATCCCAATAATCATTTTAACACTCAAAATTCTGCTAATTTTCCATTTAACCAAAATCCCAACAATTTTCCAAATCCCAACAATTATCAAAATCCCAACTATTATCAAAATCCAAATCAATTTTCCAACCAACATCCTCAAAACATACCTAATTTTGGTTTTCCACCAAATTTCAACCAGACATCCTCTGTTCCAAACTTTCAAACATATTATGGATCTATGCCGAGAAATCCATCTCAAACACCCCCGTTTAATGGTTATGTGACAATGGCGAATGCAAATTTTCCAAGTGGTGGTGTACCTGAATTTCCCGAGTTTTCAACACAACTAACTATTGGTGGCATGATTGTTTCTAATGAAGTCGGTCCGAATTCAGAGGATTCAACTCCTAAGAGCAGGAAAACTCAGCAACCAGCATGGAACACTGAACAAAATTTGGTTCTAATTAGTGGGTGGATTAAATTTGGAACAAGCAGTGTTGTCGGGAGAAACCAGAAAGGTGAAACATATTGGGGTAAAATTGCTGAGTATTGTAATGAGCATTGCTCATTCGATCCTCCGCGTGATGGACCTGCATGCCGAAACCGTTTTAATTATATGAACAAAGTGTTGGGTAAATGGATTGGCGCTTATGATGGCGCTAAGCGTATGCAAGGAAGTGGTTGGTCGGAGAATGATGTTTTGGCAAAAGCGCAGGAATTATATGCATGTGGGAAGAATGTTAAATTCACTTTAATGGAAGAATGGCACGCTCTCCGTGATCAACCACGTTATGGTAGTCAAGTAGGAGGAAATATTGGCTCAGGAAGTAGTGGATCTAAGAGATCTCGCGAGAGTGATGCATGTGGCCCAAACACTGTAGAATCCAGTGCTCGTCCTATAGGAAGGGAGGCAGCTAAAAAAAAGGGTAAAAAGAAAAGCAAGGAATATGCCTCGGAGGTGGTGGACAAAGAATGGGCTGAATACAAAGAATTCAAGACGAAAGAGCTTGAACGATTGGACAACATAGCGTTGATGCAACAGCAGGCTAACAAAATAGCCTTGGAGAAGACTAAAACCAAGAAAATGAAGATGTATCTAAAGCTAACTTCCGAAGAGCATCTAGATGACCGGAAGAACCAGCTGTTGAAAAAGTTGGAGGCAGAACTGTTTGATAATTAATTTCAATGAAGTATTTGTCAGTGTTGTGTTTGCTTTAATTATTGTTGTTTCAATATGCCAGTGTAGTGTTTGCTTTAATTATTGTTGTTTCAATATGCCAGTGTAGTGTTTGCTTTAATTATTGTTGTTTCAATATGCCAGTGTAGTGTTTGCTTTAATTATTGTTGTTTCAATATGCGAGTGTAGTGTTTGCTTTAATTATTCCTTATCTGATAATTAACTCTATACAATAAATTATTTCGAATCCGTCAGTGGTCCACCACCCAATTCGAATCTATTCCTTATTTGATAATTAACTCTATACAATAAATTATTTCGAATCCGTCAGTGGTCCACCACCCAATTCGAATCTATTCCTTATCTGATAATTAACTATATACAATAAATTATTTCGAATCCGTCAGTGGTCCACCACCCAATTCGAATCTATTCCTTATCTGATAATTAACTATATACAATAAATTATTTCGAATCCGTCAGTGGTCCACCACCCAATTCAAATCTATTCCTTATCTGATAATTAACTATATACAATAAATTATTTCGAATCCGTCAGTGGTCCACCACCCAATTCGAATCTATTCCTTATCTGATAATTAACTATATACAATAAATTATTTCGAATCCGTCAGTGGTCCACCACCCACATCCATTTATATATAGGGACTCATACATCCATTTATGTACCAATATCCCAAATCCCATCCAATCTACCTCCAATATCACAAAAAAATGGATCCATCACAATATCATTTTGATATCGCAGCCTACAATCAAAATCGTGAAATTGAAGAAAATTATATAGTCAATCGATTTAGAGAGTGTAGAAACAAAATATCGGAAGATAATGCACCTCGTAGTAGAAAATATCTCAATAGAGATCATGCAGCGGCAAACCAAAGACTAATTGACGACTACTTTGCCAATGAGCCTACATATGACGATGCAATGTTTCGTCATCGGTACCGGATGAAAAAAAATGTTTTCCTTCGAATCGTTGGGGACCTTTCAAGTAGTGATAACTACTTCACCCAGCGAGTTGATGCAGCCAATAAAGAAGGTATATCACCCTTAGCAAAATGTACCACAACAATGCGAATGTTAGCATATGGTGTGGCAGCAGATGCGGTCGATGAGTACATCAAAATAGGAGGTACTACAGCATTGGAGTGCTTACGTCGATTCTGTAAAGGAATCATACGCTTGTACGAGCAAGTGTATCTGAGAGCACCAACCCAAGATGACCTGCAAAGAATACTGCATGTTAGTGAAATGCGGGGGTTCCCAGGGATGATTGGGAGTATTGACTGCATGCACTGGGAGTGGAAAAATTGTCCTAAAGCATGGGAAGGACAATTTACTAGAGGGGATAAGGGAACCACCACAGTTATTCTTGAAGCAGTTGCATCTCATGACCTATGGATCTGGCATGCCTTTTTTGGATGTCCGGGAACGTTGAACGATATAAACGTTCTAGACCGGTCACCAGTGTTTGATGACGTGGAACAGGGAAAGGCTCCAAGTGTGAATTTCTTTGTGAATCAACGTCCATATAATATGGCATACTATCTAGCTGATGGTATCTACCCTTCTTATCCAACTTTCGTCAAATCGATTAGACTTCCTCAAAGTGAACCCGATAAATTATTTTCAAAATTTCAGGAGGGATGTCGGAAGGACATCGAACGTGCATTTGGAGTGATCCAAGCTCGATTTAAAATCATCCGTGAACCAGCTCGCTTGTGGGACATAGCTGATTTGGGTATCATCATGAGGTCATGCATCATATTACATAATATGATTGTTGAGGATGAACGAGATTCATATTCTCAACGTTGGACCGATTTTGAGCAGTCTGGGGAAAGTGGATCTAGTGCACCACAACCATACTCGACCGAGGTGTTACCCGCTTTTGCAAATCATGTGCGTGCTAGATCAGAGTTCCGTGATCCAAATGTTCATCAAGAATTGCAAGCCGATCTAGTGAAGCACATATGGACAAAGTTTGGAATGTTCCGTGATTGAATTATTTGTGTGTTGTATTGCATTTTAAATTATTTGTATCGTACTAATTACGTTACTTGTGTGTTGTATTGCATTTTAAATTATTTGTAACGTACTAATTACGTTAATTGTGTGTTGTATTTTAAATTAATTTAAGATGATTTGTATCGTATCCAATTATTTAAATAAATTTTGTTTTTATTACAAAAAATTAAAAAATAAATTATTAAGTATTTATTATTTTAATTTAATTTTAATCGATAATTGTAATTTTATGTAATCATAAAAATAAAAATAAAATTTAAATAAGAATATGAAAATAAAAAGTGGTGGGGTAGGGTGTTGAGTGAAAAACCATTGGAGAGGGTAAAAGTTGAATGAGTGTTGAGTTATTAGGTGGAAGAAAGAGAAAATGATGTGGAGTGTTGGGAGTTGAAAAAGTGGGTGTTGAGTTTTTCAACCATTGTAAATGGTCTTATAGGTGAGCCAATTATGTATAGGTGTACGTATGAGGCGAATTTTATATAAACTGAAATCTTTTATCAACTATTTTTGCACTCTTTTTCTCATCTTCTTTTCATTATTTTTGTTTTGTTTTCTAACATGTTTGTTAGTGGTTATATTTTTCTTTTGTTTTAAGAGATAAGTAGCTCCAATTGTTTGAGGCAGGCATAAACTATTGATTAAGACAACACTTGGATGGGAGGTATTGGTGTTATAATAATTAGCTTTAGTGTAATAAATTGGTTTAGTCTTTAAACTCTAACGTATAGGTGATAAACGTTAATTGGTTGTAAGGTTTATTAAGTTTGTAACTAACTTAGTTATAGTTAGATTAGTTAGCTCCTTTTACTGTTTTACTGCAACATATATAGTAGAGTGTAATCTTCCCAAGCCAATCAATGAAAGTTTATCTCTTTACTTTTTCTTTCAACCTCATTCATCTTCTTCACTGAGTGAATAATGCAGAAGTTTATGCTATGCTAACATGGTATCATTCGCTCGATCGATCCTCCACGCTTCTCTCAAAATCGATCTCTGATTCAACTTTTCTTCTTTGCATTCGGCTTTTCTCTGCGTTCGCTCGTCTTGTCTGAACTTGCTTGAAGCTCGAACAATGAAGTTCAATGAAAATCAAGAATCGTTCATCAAAATCCTTTAACATCTCAAGATATTTCGACTAGTTTCGCTGCGGGAAAATTCACTAGTTCCTTCGGTCCAAAGCTCTCCAAAAAGCTGCAAGAAAACAACTATATTCTCTAGAATCAACAGGTTGAAGGTGTGATTCTTGCACAGAAGATGCACAAATTTATAGTGAATTTGCAAATTCCTCAAAAGTTTAAGTCTGCTTAAGATCGTGTCACTAGTGCAATCTTTGGAGAATACGAGACCTGGTGTAATACGGTGGCAGAACTGACTATTATACTGGTTTTGCATTTGTATTCACAAATATTGTGGCAAGCAAGAGTCGCCACCGACTTTTCTTTTATCCAACAAAGAAAGGGGTGAAAAGAACAGAAAAAGATCTTTCGAGATTATTTCTGAGTAAGGGGGTAGATTATGGAAAGGGAAAGTGTTAGCACCCTTTCCATCTGTAGTTATCTACGGGCTCTTAGATCCTAGCTCATTTGAAAATACCTTGTGTTTGTGTGTTTGAAAAAATATATTTTAAAAAGACGCCTTAGTGCGGCGAACTTTGTAATATTTTTCGTATTGTTGAGAACGTATACAAAGTGTTTTTGAAAATATTTTTGGAAAGGAGAGTAGGTGTGGAAAATGTTTTGTTTTGAGCAAGCATCTAAGAACTATCTACCTACTCAAAAAGATTTTTTCTTTTCCTCTTTTCCTTTAGACAGTGCTATCCTACTATTAGTGAGTAGGTAGCCCCATCGTTAGATGTTTGAGGGACAATCGAGGGTCATCATACAGTCAGAAAGGCAACTCGGCAAGATACTTTAGCAACACCCCTAAGGTTTTAAGATCATGTACCGAGGCAACATCGAAAAGGTCATTTTATGATCTTTGAACTAAAGGGTTGCCACTAAAATCCCTTACTTTCGAGAGTTCTGACTGTTTTATTCCGAAGACAACCGAAGTGGGAGTACCCTAAAGGTACACATGTGCGGGTGTGTTGTGTTTCAGTTATTTGTCTTTGATGTTTAAGTTTGCTAACGTTTACTTTTAATTCTTGTCATGCAATCCTATTAGACATACATGTAACAGTTCAATATATATACAAGTGCAGGAAATTTAAAGTGTGGAATTTAAACTAACTATTACATGGCTTCGGGGAGGGGGAAATTACAAGTCCAAAACTGGGGGTAAAAACAATAAAGAAATCCTAATTTTAAACTATTACAAACCATGGAGAGATGCAATATTTCAAAAGTAATAATGCATAAAATAAAGAACGCGCAAAGATTAAAAAGGAACGTCTAAAAACCCAAAAAAAGTTCTAAGCAAATTAAGACAATTTTTGTTGTTTTTGTTTTGTTTATTTTTTTAAGAAAATATTTAAATTAAAAATTAAAAAGTTAAATTTAATTTAAATTAATAGAAGAAAATGAACATTGATTAAAAATTAACTATAGAAGAAAATATAATATTATTTTGTTTTTTTATTATTATTACGAAAAATATTTGAAATTAAATTAATCCTAATTCTAATTGATTAATTAATTGAAAAAAGAAAGGTGATTAAAATAACTAATTAAAATTAATTTAACTAATTAAAATTAATTTAATTAATTTAATTAATGAAAACAACAAAGAAATACTAATTTTAAACTATTACAAACCATGGACAGATACAATATTTCAAAAGTAATAATGTGGAAAATAAAGGACGCGCAAAGATTAAGAAGGAACGTCTAAAAACAAAAAAAAAAGTTCTAAGAAAATTAAGACAATTTTTGTTGTTTTTGTTTTGTTTATTTTTTTAAGAAAATATTTAAATTAAAAATTAAAAAGCTAAATTTAATTTAAATTAATAGAAGAAAATGAACATTGATTAAAAATTAACTATAGAAGAAAATCTAATATTATTTTGTTTCTTTATTATTATTACGAAAAAGATTTGAAATTAAATTAATCCTAATTCTAATTGGTTAATTAATTAAAAAGATAGGTGATTAAAATAACTAATTAAAATTAATTTAATTAATGAAAATCTAAGTCTAATTATTTTTGATTTGTTTGATTTTATGATGTCTTTCATGATTTTTTTAATAGGAAAAGAAATTATTGAAATAAAAGAGACAAATGAAAATGAAATAAAGAAAAAAATAATAATAAATGAGACATGCTACGAATCCAATCATGGTATTGATTTGGTCTGAAATGGCTCGTAATGTTGGATCTGAAACTCAAAGGTTCATGAGCCCTAACAATGGCAGAACTGGATTCCTGCGTCAAAACTCAAAGGAAATGGTTCTAAAATAATTCAAGCGTCTGTGTGAACATGTATGAGTGTTTAAAAACAATTTATAACGTGAGAATTAAAAAAATTGAGATTGAGAAATTTACCCAACCGAAGCAACCTCGTAGGCGTATTCTAGCGTGCTTCAATCTACAAGAAGGATATGAATGAGATTCTTGGAGCTTCAGAAATACGATGCAAGGCTTGGTTTTGATTAATATGGGCGGTAAGCTTGAGTTTCGAATTTTGCAATTCTTGAGAATTTTATGAAAAACTTGAGAGCTTCTCTAGGCAGTTTGGTGTGTGTCCTTTCTTGCTTGTAATATCATGTATTTATAGAGGGAAAAGAGGAGTGTAAACCATCATGGAAAGAATTAAGCCATTAACCATGACCTTAAAACAAAAAATCAAAATTTGAAAAGTTTCCAAACATCATGATCCCTTGCTATTTTTGTTTGATTATTTCCCTTTTCGAATTTTGCATTAACCTAGACACTTTCTATGTATCTTGAATGAATTATTGAGCTTTATGATGAATCAAGCCAAGCCCATATGCACTAGCCCATTAGTTTTCATATTTTATTTGATTTAATTCATATTTAAATGTAAAAATTAAAATAAATAAAAATCAAAATCAAAATATTGCATGGATAGATTTAGAGGTCCTTGGACATATCATGAGAATGTTTTAACTCCAAAAAGTTAGGCCCAATAACTTAAAATCACAAATTTGCTCAATTGAGATTTGATGCATTTTCTTGAAAATTACCCAACTTGTGCACTTAATAACTTGCTCAAATTTCATCTTTTGAAGATGATCTTTGACTTTTTTGAAATACCAAGATGTCCTATACACTTTCTCTTTTAATCATTTTTGCATTTGGAGATATTATCTTAATGTAAGTTGTCTTGACAAAAAGTGTCTGTTGTTGACTTTCTGAAAATGACCTGTAATGTATGAGATCATATCTTTCAAATGATGCATCTTTTGGACTTGAGAATAAAAGAAAAGTTGTAGGGAATTGAATTTTCTTCAAAATGGGCTTTTTTTGGGGAAAAGTTAATGAAGCATGTGAAATTTATGCCTGGTCAAATTTCAATTGACTTCTTCTATAGAAACCCTAATTTAATAATTTTTTATTCTTGATGATTTAAGAGCATTCCTTGAGGAATCATGATCAGCCTTTGATCAAATGATGAATATCACTTAAAAATGTTTATGTTGACCAAAAATCTTGAAGTTTGACTGTATATTGGCCATAGTTGACTTTTGACCTAATACAGTTGATTTCCAGTCATCTGAGCAATTGACTGAGCAAACTTGTAATGCAAGGCATGCAAATTGGCATGAGCATTCTTGGAGACATATTAGGGACCATGGAAATCACTTGAGGCCTTTGAAACCCAAACTTATTTGTGAAAAATGAAACCCTAGTTGGAGATCTATTGCTTAGGAGGAGAATTTGTCTGGTCAATTCTTAATCAACCTTGAGCACTTGGGGACCTCTATGAATATATCTTGAATAAAATGAGAGGAAAAATTTTGGGGTACAACACCTGGATTGTACAAGATCAAGTTGTGTTCATCTGACTTCTATCAATG